TAATAAGACAAATTGATTTAACTTTAAGAAATTGCCCTTAATTTCTCAGGCCAAGGAATTACGGGAAGAATCAAAGCCCTCCCGGGAGAAGAGATTCATTTCTTATGACAGCAATTGAGGAATAACTTGGTTAGATATTTAGGTAAACAGAAAACAGAGGGGAAGAAAATCTTAGATAGGAAATTCTGGATCATTTCCCGACATCTTCAATCACTAATGGGAACAAAATTTAATTTGACTCTGAATTCTTGTTAAATTGGAAGTAATGTGAGATTCTGAAAACAGGAGGAGCCCTCTGCAGGGACAAGTGGGTGAACCACGCAGCCCAAGGGCCCCAGCCAGTCGCTGGGCCTCCTGCTTTCCGCCTCTGCTTCCTGGCCAGTTAGACGCTCTGGGAGCAGGGATGGGGAGGGTGGTGGATGCTGAGCAAGTCTCCTCTCTCTGGCTCTTCCATGGCCAGCTGTGGCCCAAGGTGAGATGGCAGTCCGCTGTGGGCCCGCCCTGGTCCCTCCTTCCTCCCTGCCCCTGCCGTTAAGCACCTGACACACACATCTTTCCCACTTGCTGGAGTCGGAGAAAGGCCTGGCCGCATGTTTGGGCATCCACTGACAGTGAATCCACTTAACACCACCACCAGCACTTATTACAGAGTGAAAGTATAGCAAGTCTACACACACACAGATATGTACAAATATTCATAGAGGGGCCAGCGCGACAGCTCCATTGGCTAATAATCCACCTGCAAATGCCAGCATCCTATATGGGCACCAGTTGTGTGACCACCACTCCACTTCCCATCCAGCTCCCTGCTTATGGCCTGGGAAAGCAGCAGAGGACGGCCCAAAGCCTTGGGACCTTACAACCACAGGAGAGACTCAAAAGAAGTTCCTGGCTTCAGATCAGCTCAATTCTGGTTGTTATGGCATTGAGGGAATGAGGCAGCAGATGGAAGATCTTGCTCTCTGTCTCTCCTTCTCTCTGTAAATCTTCCTTTCCAATAAAATAAATAAATATTTAAAGCATATATTATATTTATGACACATGTGTATACAACTTGGATTAAAACTTATAATTCTATGCAAATTCTTACTGCACAGAATGAATCAAGCACTGGCATTTGCCTGAATTTTCCCCACGACGGAAGGAGTGCTGTGTTGCAGCTGCACAGTCCAGCTGCAGTGGTGGCCACCGTCAGAGAGGCACGTGCGGCGTCTTCACCCCAGGCCACTGCGTCCAGGCAGCCTTTGTCGGTGGCTCTCCCTGCTCTCCGGCTGGAATCCCCAGTCCTGTGCTGGGCTGACTGGGCGAAGACGAGGCCTTCCGGAGGACCCCTCTCTCGGCCTGAGAGAAGTCTGCATGTTCCGGGAGCTCCCTGTTTCCCTCTGCAACCTGCTGTGGCACACCTAGGTCTTGGAGACTGGCTCCACAGACACCACCACTCCAGCATCTGAAGCTTTTGCGTATTCGGTTCAGTAGGGAATGTTTCCGGGTTTTGTGATTCCTGCTTCCCCTGCAAGACCAGACTACAGCAAGGAATCAGACAGCAAAGAGCTGAGGACCAGCAGGTTAAGCCGCTGCTTGTCCTGCTAATAACGCACCCAGGATAGCAGCCTGCCTCCCACACGGGGCTGCACTCGGAGCTCCTGGTCCCTGGATCAGCCCGGCCAGCTCCAGCCGCTGCTCACTTAGGAAATGAGCCAGCAGACGAAAGATCTCCCTCTCTGTTACTCTACCTTTCAAATACGTAAATCAATCTTTAAAAAAGTGAACCGTTCAGTAGAGGCACCCTGCCCCTCTGGCACAGTAAACAGCCTGAGCTTCCCATCCCAGCTGTGGACATGGACAGCCCTGGCTGTGATGTTTCGTATGAAGGCCATGACAAATGCAGCACAGGGACAGACACGAGGCACGGAGCCGAGCTGGGGGAGAGTGGCGCCGGCGGGCGGATCTTTGCACAGAACTCTGAGATACGAGTAACGCTCTGGCAGCCAACGAATGGAGAGTGCCTCCTGGGCACGGAGAACACGACGTACAAAGTTCAAGGGTGTGCAGCGGAGCCTGCTGAGGGACAGCGAGTCCCTGATGTCGTTCTCAGGGTCAGCTGAACTGAGGACATAAGATTGAAGGCAAAGCCCAGGGTCACCATGCCGGTGCTAGATGGACACCCGGGGCCCCAGGCATCACAGGGCCCTGAGCACCAGCCTTAGCCCAAGGACACGCAAGTGAGGGCTGATGTTATCGTCCTCAGCCTCATCCCTGGGAAAGTACAAGTACACCGCCTCAGGACAGTGAATCCCGAGGGGGCTCCATGCCATGCCCCACAGACATGAGCCCAGGGACACTCCTTTACAAGCACTGGGACTCCATGACAGGAGTTCCGATAATCAAGAGAGGGTGTGCTGGACCAACGGCCCCATACACACCTTCATCAGGCTACTCCCAAAGGTGCACATCTTGGGAATGTTCCATGTCCGGAATTTTCCCACCGCATTGACTGTGGTGACCGAGAAGGGGCAAGCGAAGGCCTGGGTAAGGAGGGACTGTTATAGACCACACTGCTTTCTGACTCAAGCCACAATAGGACAGGTGCAACGAAAAAGGGTAAAGATGCTATGTGAAGAACCGGGTACAGGACTCCACCTGCCTTTCCACCAGGCCTCTCTCTCTCTGACACCTGCAAACCTGGGACCCACTAACACTGGTGCTGTTCGCTGCTCCCAGACCTTCCATGAAATCCTCCTTGCTTTGCGGCCAGGAAGAGGCCCACCCAGCAGCGTCCCGAGGGGCTGGGCACACACAACCCTGCCTCTCCATCTCCTCCTATATTTTGGCTCGCCAGCCAGCTCCAACTGCCTCGCAGGTAGGAGTCATGACTGCATTCCTGCCTCGCCGTGCCGGCTGGCTGGGATTCCAAGCCCGGATCTCAACAGGAAGGGTGTGTGGGGATTGTCACCCCTGAGGCAGAAGCCATGGAGCCAGTCATCCAGCTCCTTTCAAATCAACGTAATGACCTGCCCAGGACTTCTCTGAGAGACCAACGCCCTCGCCCAGCTGCCTGTCCATGTCTCGGGCTCCCTGGAACACAACCCGCAGGAAGGTCTCCCTTGATCCTGGGAAGAAGTGGTACTGCTCATGGCTGGGGTCCCTGATTTCTGCCTCCCATGGCCCGACATTCCATCGTCACACGGTGCAGATGGACACAGCGTGCGGCTGTGCAGCAGTGTGTGTAGCAGGGACAGGTGCCAGGGACATCTTGAACCAGGCACAGGTAGAAGAACAAGCTCTCAAACTGGGCAGCCTGGCGGCCCCACCAAGCTCCAGGAACTGCAAGGACAGACTGTTGGGATCTGCTGGTTCCTAAGGCAGGCTTCCCACTCTGGGCTCCCACCTTCCCATCTCCTTCAAAGCCAGGGCCTTCTCAGCAGCGGAAAGCATTACCACCCTGTGCGTTTCCAAAAAAAAAGAAAAGAAAGAAAAAACTCCTAGGGACCACAAATTGCACTTAGCAACTACCCAACGTGACTTCCTGTCCAGGGTAATTTTTTCTCTTTTTCCTCTCTAGAAAGGACTTCAGCTATTATAAAAGGAAATTATCCTCTCTCCTAAATTAGCCTGGCTTTCATTTGTCTTTTTCTTTTAACCATCAAACAAGCTTAGAACAAAAAACGAGGTCGTACTTCCAACTGGAATCTGAGAAGCCAGAGGCAAATCTTCCCTGCCTCCCACCTACCCATCACTTGGGGGCCAGGTCTCCCACGTCCAGGAGGGCAGCACAGGGTGAGCCACATGCTGAAGGCCAGACGGACTCTTCGTAACACCAAGGTTACCCATGCATTCCTGCCCCCTCATGTCTGAGTCACTAAGTGGCTATGCAACAGGTCATTGTCCTGCAGCGCTGGGGACAGGGAAGACCGGTGGGTCCAGGGCCCGCCCTCAGGCGCCTCCAGTCCAGCGGTCTTTCATTCCTTCATCGCACGAGGAACCATTATTTCATTTCCCACTGCACTAGCCGCTGACTGAGCGAGACAGCGCACATTTGCGCGGGCCCACAAGGACTCGCGTGACACCACACGACCCCGGGGCCAGGCGCCAGGGAGGTGTGAGGAACAAGCCGCCCCGCTTCCCCCACGGCTCCCCAGGAGGGCAGCCATCCCCGGCTTGTCTGCACTGGGGTCCCCGTCCCCTGAGGGAGGAGGACAAGGGGACAGGCTTGAGGCAAGGGGTGGGAGGCGTCTCCTGGAGGCCGGGGGAGAACCCCTGAAGGGCACAGCACCAAGACCGCCCCGTGCCAGCGGGAGGCCCTCGAGCGGCCACAGGCCTCGCCAGGCCACGGCCGCAGCTGGGGCCGCCCCGACTCGGCCCAAAGGTCGGCGTCGCGCGCCCGCACTGCGCCTGCGCAGCCCTGCGCCAGCGCGCCGCGCCGGGCGCCGAGGGGCGGGGCCCGGGCCGGGATTGGGCTCGGGGCAGTGCGTCGGCACGTTCCGGCGTCCGCGCGTCCCCGGCGTCGGCGCGCGGCGCCTGCGCACTGCGCGGCCGGCGGGGCGCTGGGGGCGGGGCGGGGCAGGTGCCGCCTCTGGCCTCCCGGTCCCGGAGCGGCACCCGGACATCGCGCGCAGGCCGCCGGCACCATGAAGATCTGGACCTCGGAACACGTCTTCGAGTGCGTGCGGGGCGCGGGCAGGCCGGGCCCGGAGTACCGGCGAGGTCCAGGCGCCCCTCGGGCAGTTCCCCGGCGTGAGGCCCTGGGGAAGAGGGCCGGGCCGCGGGATCCCGGGGGAGCGCCAGGGGCCCAAGGTCACCAGCGGACTCGGGCCCTGGCGGGAGGAGGGTGGCACGCTGGGGTCCTGGGCGACGCCCAGCGCGAGGTCCTGTGCAGCCGGGGTCGCGGCCCCGCCTCGTGACCCTGTGACCCCGTGACCCCGGGCGAGGCGGCAGGTGCCTGTGCCTCCGGGGGCGTGGGTGTGCTAGCGCACACCATTCTGAGCCACGGAGGCGTGCGCCTGTTCCCGGTCCCACTCCTGCTGCCGTGGTCGCCACGCTGTTTGAATTAGCACAGCTCTGTAGTGTGTTTTTAGTCTCTCGTGGACCTCGGCACCTTGGGTCACTTAGTGTCTGTTGTCATTGAGTGTCTGATGCCGGGACCCTTGCCACTGAGCAGGCCTTCTGTGCCCGTCCAGTCCCTTCGTGGGCTCGTGCCCTCCCGTTTCCGCTGTTTGTGCCTATGCTGAACACTTCCTTCAGTGTGCTTCTTTCTCAAGGTTTGCTGGCGGGCCTCCTGGCCTTGGCTTCGTTGCTGTCTCAATCTGCTTGTTCTCTTTGCCACAGAAAACTTTGGTATCTGGTGGAGGTTCTGGGGCTTCCTCCAGAAGACAGATGTGTTCGTGGCCTGGGACGGACAGCCCTGGGCTGTGCGTTCTCTCCAGGTGGCTGTGCAGCTGGTCAAGGTCCCAGCTGACAGGTGGACATAGGTGACGCCCACTGTGTCCCTTGAGCTCCAGTCTGTCTCCAAGTCCACATCCTTATTTCCAGGTGCCTGCTCAGCTCCGCTGCCCGAATGCCTCGCCAGCTGTTCCCGCCCTAGACTCCGGAAGTCCCAGCCCCGCTCTGCCCTCAGCCCTTCCCTTTGGGGCCCATTTCTCTCTTCAGGAGGTCACAGCCACAGTATCTGAGTCACCATTCTGACCCATTCTTGATACCACTGCTTCCGTCTGAAGTTTAGGGTGCAGTTGGCATTCCTTGCAGTTACCTGTCCCTCCAGATACAGGAAGACCCTGAGTGTGCCAGCTGCGGGGCAGTCTTGGGCCAAAGCAAGTCCTCGTCAGTGTTTCCATGCTGACTTGGCAGAGGTGGACTAAGTGCCAGCGCAGAGCCCCCTGAGGCCATGCACCCGCTGCGGTCCTGCAGAGGAGAGCGGGGGCAGTGCCAGGGGCCAGTCGTGCTGCTGTCAGCCCGAGTTAGCTGAGGGTGAAGTCGCTGATCATCTTGCTGTTTGCTCTGAGCAGTCAAGTGCTGTGTGTTTAGGAGAGGTTAGAATCCAACCGCTGCAGCCGGGCTGCCTCGGGCACCGACGGCGCAGGCTGCCACGGAAGTTGGGAGCAGAGAGACGTGCACCACGCTGCAGGTTGTGCAAAGCTGCTGCCGGGTCTCAGACTGTGTGAAGTTGTTGCCATTTTAGTCCTAGGTGAGGAGTAGCGAATGTGCTAAGAGGGACTGTCAGCAAGCCGCAGGGTAGGAGTGCCTCATTGAGCTTTTCAAAGCAGAACTCAGAGTCGCTTATTTGGGGAAAGAAGCCACGCGTGTGGCCACTGCTCGGTACTGGACAGACATGCGGAGCGCTTCGAGTAATGAAATCCCTAACGTTTTAGACCTGCTTTGTAGTTCCTGCAAGAACTTACACTTATTAGCTCTTTTTACCCTTGTTACTTTTTATAACTTCATAGAATTGGGATCAGATAACTGGCATAATAGCTTTTGCTGTTTGATTCAATAGGGCGTGATTTTTTTTAACTACATTTTTATGAGTCAGCGGTTCTTCCTAGTAACAAAATCTTGGTGTGAAAGTAGGAGGTTCTGCAAGGAATGGTGGTTGAATGGGCCAATAACTCTTTATTCTTGTAAGCTTCAGGCAATCAAGCTTCCATTGTGAAGATTATTCGACAAGTTCTAAAACTCATTCATGTGCATGTTTTTAAATATTTCATGCTTGACCCCCCCGGCAGCCACCCATGGGAAACCGTTACGACGGCTGCAATGCAGAAATACCCGAATCCGATGAACCCAAGCGTGGTGGGCGTGGACGTGCTGGACAGACACGTGGACCCCGCGGGGAAGCTGCACAGCCACAGACTCCTCAGCACCGAGTGGGGTCTGCCTTCCATTGTGAAATCTGTGAGTGCGCCGCCCCAGTGTGTCTGAGACCTCACTATAGCATCGGATAAGTCAGAAAGCCAGTTCTGAACGTCGTGTTGCATCAGTTCAAACCGCGTCGTGATAATCTTGAGTTAGGAGCATGTGGTGGATCGGAAAGAGCACAGTGGGCACGCAGCAGCGCTGGCACTTGGAGGGAAGCCAGCCAGCACTCTGCTCTGAAGGGGGTTGCATTCTGCATCCCAAGCTGCTGCCAGTAATAACGTCTAGAAGATTCCGCAGCAAGTGGCCATTGCTGTACATGGTGCCACAACCCGGGGCCCCTGTCTGTGACGCGAGCGTCAGTGGGCCAGGCTAGCCTGTGCGTGCTGGTGCCGCCAGCGGATCCAGGCCAACACACAGGACTGCCTGCTGGGGCTCGTGGCGCCGGGGCTGGCGGGAGGCTCCCAGGTGTTGTGGAGAGATACTTGGTAGCTCTTGTCTGGGTGCCATGGCCCTCGGGGTCGGAGTGCGGTGCACAGGCCGCCATGCCAGGCCTCAGGACAAGCCCTGTGTCTGGTGGTCTCATGTTCTCTGTGATGGGCAGACCCTGTTCCTGGCAGAGACCTCTTAGTAAACAGGTTTTCATGCAAGATGCTGTGACGCACGATTAGATAAAGTCTCAGTACCCTGGTGAGAGGTCCTCACTTGGGATCACTAACTTGGAATGCTTTGTTTAGCTCATTGGAGCGGCGAGAACCAAAACGTACGTGCAGGAGCACTCGGTGGTCGATCCTGTGGAAAGAGTGATGGAACTCAACTCCACCAACGTGAGTCCGGCGCCTTTGGATTTCCAGCCACTGTCCATCTTGTTTCTCTGTCCTGCGTGGTGTGTGGTGCAGCGAGCCTGGAGGCGCATGTGGGGCCACAGAGACGTGCTGGACGTCAGGCATGGCGCTCTGAGCGCACCTGGGCCCTACTGCACACACATATTGTTCCTCTTCTTTTTTCTAAGATTTATTTTATTGGGCCCAGTGTGGTAGCCTAGCTGCTAAAGTCCTTGCCTTGGACGCGCTAGGATCCCACATGGGCGTGGGTTCTAATCCCAGCTACTCCACTTCCCATCCAGCTCCCTGCTAGTGGCCTGCGAAGGCAGTGGGGAATGACCCAAAGCCTTGGGACCCTGCACCCATGTAGGAGACCCGAAAAAGGCTCCGGGCTCCTGGCTTCGGATCAGCTCAGCCCCAGCCGTTGCAGGCACTTGGGAAGTGAATCATCGGATGGAAGATCTTCCTCTCTGTCTCCTCTTCTCTGTATATCTGACTTTCCAATGAAAATAAAATTAATGGAAAGGCAGATATACAGAAAATAGGAGACACAGAGCGAAAGATATTCTATTTGCTGTTTCACTCCCCTAGTTGCCACAATGACCAGAACAAAGCCAGGAACCTGGAGCTTCTTCCGGCCACGTGGGTTCAGGGTCCCAAGGCTTTGGGCCATCCTCAACTGCTTTCCCAGGCCACAAGCAGGGAGCTGGATGGGAAGTGGGGCCGCTGGAATACAAATCAGCACCATATGGCACATGCAAAGCAAGGATTGAGCCACTAGGCTAATGCACCAGGCCCAATGTATGGACATCTTTGATACAAGGGAGGTTGGACATCTCTTTATTTGATTAATTTCACTGTTTAGCCCTCGCCTGTTTTCCTGCTGCACTATATGTGGTCTTACCTGGTGAGCGCTTTATTTGGTAGAGCTAATAAGCTTCCGATTTTAATGTGAATCGAAAATATTTTATCCAAAAATTAGTTGTAAAAAATGTTTGTAATTAAAATACCTTTAATAAGTAGGTAGCAATGAAATGTACGTTATATGTACATGGTAGTATCAAAATAGCTTATTGTTGGTGTACTGTATAGCTGGCAGGAATTTATATGCTGGTTTGGGAAATTATTTTCACTTCTTAAATATTTTTCCCTTCATTCTTTAGATTTCATTTACAAATATGGTTTCAGTTGATGAAAGACTTATATACAAACCACATCCTCAGGACCCAGCCAAGTGAGTAAAAATTTAATCAGAGTATTTTGTATAGACTGTCAATTGGGCTTTTTATATCAGTGTTTTTGCAAACCACTGAAAGGTCACGTCAGGCAGTGTGAATGTGTTTTTGTTCCAGAACTGTTCTTACCCAAGAAGCCATTATCACGGTGAAGGGCGTCAGCCTTAGCAGTTACCTGGAAGGGCTCATGGCCAGCACCATATCTTCCAATGCCAGCAAGGTGAGACGGCTCCTCTTGCACAGGCGGTCCCGGGGGCACACAGGCTCGGTGCCAGGCTGTGGGAGGTTGGCCTTCTGGGACCTCTGTCTGACTGGCAGGAAGTACCTGACATGTAGGAGGAAGTGTCGGGGCCTGGAGCACAGCCTGCCGGGAGCCGGCCTCGCCCTGCAAGGTGCTGTGTCTCCCCGCAGCCCCTGGCACACGTGTTATGCCCTCGTCGCCACTCCCGGGCAGTAATCTGCCACAAGCACACGGCTGTGAGCACTTGGTGTCAGAGGGGCTCCCCTCTTGCTCCCCACGACCACTGTCCGCCCACTGAGTCTCCTCCATTAAACACACAAGACTGGAAATCAAGTAAAGATGGACGCAGGGCAATATCATCATTGTACTCTTAGGATTATATCTGTGGAACTGTATCAAGTCTGTTAAAAGCTAAAGTTAAAAGTAAAACAAGATAAGTTTTATGAGACGTTTCCTTCAGCTCGAAGGGATTCTAGGTGTCTCCTCCGCCAGTCGGTGCTGGGCCGGACTGGGGACAGCAGGTGGCCATACAGGCCTCTGCTCCGTGGAACAGAGGAAGGTGACAGCGATGACCCACGCATCGGGCGGTGCAGAAGGGTGTGGCCGTGGTGAATGGGTGCTCTGTGACTCGGTGTTTTTGCCAAGGGCTGGTGGAGGGCGGCTTGGTCACTCGGGCCACACCAGGAGAGCATCGTGTGTGTGCCGGGACCCTGAGGCACATCCTGGGTGCTCCCCCTTCCTGGAAAAAGTGCCTGGAGCACGGGAGGCAGCAGCTCCCACAGGTCGGGGAGAGGTGCACCTCCAGTGGGAGGCTTCTCATGAGACACAGGCAGCCTGTCACTTCCCTGCAGGCTGCCCCAAGAACGTCTTACGTACAAAATAAAGATCAGTGTGTACATAAGCCAGTTGCTCAAGGCCTTTGCCATTTGATAAATGGCCAAATGCAAAGATAAGTGCTGAGCTGAGCTGTCCAAGGAGGTGATGTGTGCTGTGGAAGTGCCTCTGGCTCTTGGTGTGTGAGTCACTGCATCGCGCCTTTGCCGTCTCGCTAACCATGCGTGTTTTGGCTTTTTCTCTCTCAGGGCCGAGAAGCCATGGAGTGGGTAATCCATAAGTTAAATGCTGAGCTTGAAGAACTGGCAGCGTCGGCGAGAGGGAGCTTACGGGCCCCGATGGCAGCGGCCGCCTTTGCAGAGAAATGACGCCCAGGCCGCGTGCTCCTGCAGGCCCCAGCTCTCCAGGCCGATGTATTTATTTGTTATTTAAAAAGTACAACTATATTTTAGGTAGAATTTTTTAATGAGCTGGAGTCAGACTATGTGACTTTTGATCAAATAAGCAGATGCAGGGCTTCTAAGCCAAAGGATCACATGAGACAGCTTGGTGGTTCTGAGCAGCTGGGAGCTCCCGCGTGGGCCCTGCCTGGCTTCGGACCAAGCCCGAGGGAGCAGAACGCCTCTCGCACACACGCGGGGCGGGGTGCTGTCCGGGGGAGGCGTGCAGGTCGGAGGACGTTGGCTGTATAACCAGTGTTTGATTGGGTACTTTAATGGTATTTTTGGAGTGACATTGAGCACTACAAGGATATATGACTCCAATAAGACAATTTTGTTACCTTAAAGAGTACTGTGTTGATTTGCCAAAGTTTTGTAACTTAGTAAAGGTGCACCCTTCCTCAGATGCGTTCTCTGTGCCTGATGTTCCGGGGCGGGCTGGATGTGATCACTGGCTGGGCACAGCGGCCCTGGACGCCACCAGCAGCTGTTAGCAGCTGCAGCATCTCCCATCCTGACCTGATCTCCAGGGAGACTGAGCTTGTCTCCAGCACTGCGTGGGGTCAGCGCGGGAGGGGTGCGGGGCCCAGGGGAAGGACTGGGCTCAGACACCTCGCCCGAGTTGCAGTACCATCCTCATTCCGGGGACATGGGTGTTTGGGATGCCAGCTGAGCCCATGCGGTAAAGGGATTGCTTCATATTTGGTACCAAGAAGCCAGCAACTGCTAAAAGGTACTGCGGGGGACTCTGTGGTGGTCTGCCTTAGCGGTGTGTGTGAGGCGGCTTGCCTTGGTTTCAGGGGTACATAAACCACGCTAGTAAACTCTTTTCATGTGAAGGCTTATTTACATGCCAACCTATTTTTAAAATTTTCTACTTAAAATTATGTTCAAGACTTCCTAAGGCATTGGTAAAAAGTTCAAGTTTCTGATTATTGCTTATAATCAGAGATGGCTTTTACAACATGCAGTCTTTCGGCTAAACCGAACACAGGCGAGCACTGGGAAGAAGTTACTGGGTGGCTTCCCCGGGGTCTGCCTTCTCCTCCCCGGGGTCTGCCTTCTCCCTGGGGTCTGCCTTCTCCCTGGGGTCTGGCTTCTCCTCCCTGGGGTCTGGCTTCTCCTCCCTGGGATCTGCCTTCTCCCTGGGGTCTGCCTTCTCCTCGAGGACGGGGTCTCGGAGTCGCAGCCTTTCCGTTTTCCAGGGCGCTGCCTCCACACACTGGTCCCTTCGGGCCTTCCCAGTTCGGGCCGGCCAAGAGCCGACAGGACTCCCCACGTGGGGGCTGCGCACTGGCCACCCTGCCCGGGGCTGGACTGGCCCGCGGGAGTTGGCGGAAGCGTGGGGAAAGCTCGCCGTGACGGAGACTTCCACCACAACCCGCTACCACAGTCCGGGCTCCACGTCGGCCACTGCGGGGTCCACGGGGCTCCGGGAAAGCGCGGCTGCCCCGCCTCCCCGGAGGGCCGCTCCGGAAGTCAGGCGCAAGCCGCGCCAATAGGGAGCCGCGGGAGGCCGAGCGGCACGGCGATTGGCTGCCGGCGCCGAGGGGCGGGCAGGAGGCTCGACTGGCAGGTCGGTGATGCCCGCCTCTTCCGTCGCCCGGGCCTGACCTTCCTGCCGCCGCGCGCCCGGGAACTCGGTCGTTACCGGCTTTGGCGCTTCGTCCCGACGCCCCGCACTCCCACGACATCATGGTGGCATACTGGCGCCAGGCCGGACTCAGGTAGGCCCGGGCCCGGGGTCGGGGCAGGCGGCGGTGGGCGCTCACGGCCCAGCCGGGCCCCAAGATGGCGTCGCTGTGGACAAGGGCGCCCGGGCCAGCGGTCAGCGCCGCTGCGGGGTCGCGGCTTGGGGCCGCCGCTGGCCTTCCAGGGTCCTGCTCTGCTGCCTGTGGGCTTTCACCTTCACCCCTGCCGGGCCACTGGCGGGGAACTGGACACGGAATGGGCCGGCTGGAGGCCGTGGCGTGGCCCGTGCACCTGCTGGGCTGGCCTGGTCTGGGCATCCACCCGGGGCATTCAGGGGACAGCTGAGCAACCCCGCACCTTGGCCACAAAGTCTTTTCCCAAGTCACCTGCGTGGCAAGTGTTAAAACCCTCCCATTCTGTTGTTTTCACAGATTTAAGTAAGCAAGTTGAAAGAAGGTCGCCGGTTAGTAAGGACGCAAGCTGACCTTGGCGTTGTTACCTCTGCCCAGCCCTTCCCATTTTTCAAGCCTGTGACGAGTGACCTGACATCTCTTGGGAGATAGGAAGTGGATGGGAGTTCAGCTGCCAAGTCAGAAACAGCCTTTTAGAAATTTTTCTAGAATGGGGGAAGTTCCCAGAGAACTACTTCACTTAGAAATCCTGACTGGGTGTTCTGGCGACAGGTTTGTGAACCAGGGCCTGGTATTCTGGGAAAGCCTTCAGATAGGTTCAGGCTGTCAAGGAGAGGCGGTGCCAAGCATCGCTCATCTGCCCATGCAGTCCCCCTGCCTGGTGTTCCTTTGTACAAATCCCTTTTGGCATCGGCCTTGAAAAATCCACTTTTACAGCAACACGCCGTTGAACAGCACAGGTGGAAAACCCGGGTCCAGCCACACGGCAGGCGGGCAGTGGCACATGGCTAACCTGTCTGCTTCTCTCCCAGCTACATCCGGTACTCCCAGATCTGCGCCAAGGCAGTGAGAGACGCTCTGAAGACAGAATTCAGAGCCAACGCAGAGAAGACTTCGGGCAGCAGCGTCAAAATCGTCAAAGTGAAAAAGGAGTGAGCCGTAAGTCAGGGACGAACCGCAAGCGTCCCCTGGGGTCGGGTCCCTCCGGTGTGGACTGTCAGCCATGGGGTGGGCAATGAGCCCGCAGACGGTGGGAGCGTACCCTACAAGGCCACCGGTCAGGGCTGCTCAGCGCTTGTGGCAGGGCTTGGGGAGAGAGCCAGCTCTCTAATTAAACCTTCATTTGCACAGAGTCAAAAGCTAATAATCTGGAGGGTAAATGTCCCCCTTTTTATGACTGACTCATTTATTTTATTGGAAAGGCAGGTTTTACAGAGAAGGAGATCCTCCATCTGCTGGTTACTCCCCAAATGAGCACGCTGAGCTAACCCCAAACCAGGAGCCTCTTCCCAGTCTCCCACATGGATGTGAGGTCCCAAGGCCCTGGGCCGTCCTCTGCTGTTCTCCCAGGCCACAAGCAGGGAGCTGGATGGAAGTGGAGCTGCGGGGACACGGTGGTGCCCGTGGCAGATCCTAGCACTCTCAAGGGGAGAATTGGCCAAATGAGCCATCTCACTGGGCCCAAGTCCTCACTTTTTACTTGCTATTGAAATTAGGGAACAGTTGACAAACATGAAAAGTCAGCAGGCTTGGCACATTTATATCTCCCGGTTCTGCTAATGTTCTCCCAAGCCATGGCTTCCTGGGCCTGTGGGCAGTCGGTGCAGGGCGCGGTCTGCTGGCCTCGCTGGGCAGCGGAACGTGCGAAAACCTGGGCACACGCAGTGTTTCCAAATTGGTTGTGGCAGGGCTGGCCTTGTGAGCTCACCTCCGGGCAGTAAAAAGGCCTTTCTGAGCGGCTGCGCAGCCTTTCCCACCCAGCGGCGCCAGTGGCCGCAGTGCTGCCTCGCATCCTGGGTGTGGAGACAGGCAGGCTGACAGGTTGGCTTTGAAGAGCCTCAGACTCAGAGCAGCGCCGAAACATGGTGAGGGCTGCACTGCTGCTTACAGCTGTCTCCCCTAACTCCCATTTAAGATTTATTTTTATTTGAAAAGCATGGTCCACTTTCCAATGAGCTGATCCGAAGCCAGAAGCTTCCTCCAGGTCTCCCGCGCAGGTGCAGGGGCTCAAGGACTTGAGCCATCCTCCACTGCTTTCCCAGGCCATAGCAGGGAGCTGGATGGGAAATGGAGCAGCCGGGATATGAAGCAGTGCCCATCTGGGATGCCAGTGCTTATAAGATGAAGTTTTAGCCATTGAGCCATCACACCAGCCCCCAAATTAGTAAATATTTCAGTAGCTGTCTGGAGGTGCAGTGTTAGGAGTAGCCCTGCTGGGAGCTCACTCCCTTGAGGTACGACGTGGGCTTGCGTGGGTAGCTTTGTGTGGCCGTGAGCTGCAAAGGCTCGCTCAGTCCCTGGGCCCCTCGGTCGCAGTGCCAAGGCAGAGCCACCTCAGGTCCGCGGTGCCCTTGGGCTTAGAGGTAGCGTCTGCTCTGAGGACACAGCCCACGCCCCTCGCTCATGTCCTTAAGACAAAGTGGTTGCTTATGACTTGGAGTGTCTCTCTGGCAGGGAGATGCGTGTCTGCCAAGCGTCCCATTTGAGCTCGGCCCTGTTAGGGCGAACCAAGACCACAGCCACCTTGTGCAGTGGCTGCAAGGAAGCTTTCGTCCTATCCATATTGCATTTTTAAGAAAACACCAAGAACTGGCTGGCAACTGTTGCCTTTTTCTTCTTTCCTCCTAGACCCTGACTGAAGCTCCTTTGCAACATTTGCATGGTGAAGATGTTTGGGTGTGTGTTGCTGGCCATTGAGACCCGTCTCATTCTCCAATCAGGAATGCCAATAAACTGAAGCATGGTTCCCTGTCACTGTCGGCTTTGGTTTTCCTGAGGCTTTTCCTCTTCTGCGGGAACTGGGACTTCTGAGGGTGGGAGAAGGGGGTGGACGTGACCAGCGGGATACAGAAGGTTCTCCAAGATGGAGAGCTCTGTGCTGTGTGGCACTATTGGGTCCTCGGAGTGCTGGCTGTCCCGGAGGCCCGTGGGGACGGTGGTCCAGCCTTGACCAGGTGCAGCAGCCGGTGTGTCGCTGCTCCGCTGATGGCCTGTGCGAAGGTGATCAGAGCCTGGGCTCAGACCACTGTGTAGTGTGCCCTTAACGCCTGCTGGAAGCAAGTTCCTGTGGGATATGTCAGACGGCTGTCTCCCCACAAATCCTTCCCTTCTGGCGGCATTGCTCCTAGAAGTGAGGCGGAGCTGCTCAGAGCCCCGCTTCTGCAGTGGGAGGCTGAGCCGAAGCCCAGGCTCTGCAGGTCGGCCGCGCAGTGGGGGCAGTACTGTTAGGGATCCATTCATTCGTTGAATACTCAGGGAGGAAGAATTGCTGCAGGTGTTTTGTTTTCATCTTCCTCGACAACCTGGATGCACTTGACTGAGTAAAACCCCATCATCAGGTTCAGTGTTTGACTTCGTGGTGGCTGGAGAAATGAAGTGCCATAGGAGGGGAGACTTGCACGCTGGCACTGAAGCTCCTGGTGGCTTCAGGGCCTCCCCGCTGGCAGAAGGGTGTGTCTGTTCTCAGCTTGTAAGGATGACTTCCTGCTCCCAAAACTTGACCTGTTTTCATTCCCGACACACGGGGGGAGCAGATTTGAGTGGGAAGACAGAGGACGGGGGCCTGGCACTGGGAGGCCCTGGGTCTGCCTGCTGTCATCCAGCGAAGGCCACTCAGTTCAGTGCCAAGGCCCCCGGGGGAAGGTCCCGGGAAGTGTCTTTCACAATGGGGAGATAGGAATCGTGACTCCAAGGCCCTCCTGGGGCCTCTCCAAGGCCACCGAGTCCTCCCACCCGGCAGTTGCAGAAGTCATTTGGCAGGGAGGCCGTTAGGCTAATTAGAATGAGTAGCAAGGACAGGACCTGGACAGGAAAGGGTCAAAGTGAGTGAAGGATTGAGCCTCCTCCCTGGTGATTTCAAAACAGCCTGCTCGAACGACAGCCTCCCTCCAGCCCAACTGGGTCCCAGGGCTGCCAGCACCCCAGCCTGCTGGCGGGTGGGTGTCCTGCTGACTTCTTGGGTGCAGTTTTCAAGGTGTTGGTTAATCAAACTGGGTAGTGAAATTCCAGGAAAAGAACTTGGTGTGGTCTGAGATAAAGCGACATGGCCATTTAAAAGTGGATTTCTTTTTAAGATATTATTTTTATTGGAGAGTCAGATATACAAAGAGGAGGAAAGACAGAAAGCTCTTCCATCAGCTTGTTCACTCCCCAAGTGGCCACTAGGGCCAGAGCTGAGCCGATCCGAAGCCAGAAGCCAAGAGCATCTTCTGAGTCTCCCACACTTTCCCAGGCCACAAGCAGGGAGCTGGATGGAAAGTGGAGAAGCCGGAACGCAAACTGGTACCCATATGGGATCCCAATGCATGCAAAGCAAGGATTTAACCACTAGGCTACTGTGTCAGGGCCATAAAAATAAATCTTTAAAAAAACAGTTCTGGAAGTTGCGCACTTGCAGAACCCAGAGTTCATACATTTCAGTGTGGCTGTGCAGAGGCACACAGAGCACTGCAGCTCTTCAGGGCCGCTTTTCCCTCCCGCTTTCCTCTTGGAGGGCAGGCAGGACAGCTGGCCGCGTGCACAGGCTTGGATGCCGGGGTGGCGTCCACCAGCCCTCTCCTGCAGACCCTACGGGAAGAAGTGCTGCAGCCGGGGATGGGGGCAGCGGGGCTTCCCACAGCTCGTGGGAAGATAAATAAAACCCACGCCTGTATTTCAATTTTCTTTTTATTTGCATCAAACTTCTCTTTGAATTCCATTTCTCAACTTTTCTAGAGTATCTGGGGAAATTCCCTGGACAGTTTAAAGAGTTTACCGAGTGTGTGTGCACTGAACATCAAGCTCAGGCTAGTGAGCGGCAGCAGGCCTGTGGCCGTCAGCTCTCCCCCCCCCCCTGCAGTCCTCGTGCAGAGCCAGCAGCAGGTGCGCTCTCCCGCACGGCTCAGCGTGGCGTGGGCCCTGCAGCCCCTCGAGACTGCAGGCAGTGGCCCACACAGCACCCACCCATCACGGCTGATGTTGCTTAAGGTCTCACTCCATTTCTGCCTCCCCATCGGCCCCCTCGTTTTCCTCCTGGAGCGCTGTGGCGTCCTGGAATTGCTGGTACTCGGATACCAGGTCATGGATGTTGCTCTCAGCCTCCCCAAACTCGTCAATGTCCATCCCTTCGCTAGTGTACCAGTGCACGAAGGCTTTCCTCTTGAACATGGCCGAGAACTGCTCGGACACCCTGCGGAAGAGCTCCTGGATGGCCGTGTTGTTGCCTATGAAGGTGGCAGCCATGTTGAGCCCCCGGGGAGGGATGTCGCAGACGGCCACCTTGACGTTGTTGGGGATCCACTCCACGAAGCAGTCGCTGTGCCTGGTCTGCACAGACAGCAGCTGCTGGTCCACCTCCTTAGTGGACATGCGGCCCCGGAAGATGCAGGCCACGGTGAGGTAGCGGCCACGGCGGGGGTCGCAGGCGGCCATGGTGTTGCGAGCATCAAACATCTGCTGGGTGAGCTCGGCCACCGACAGGGCGCGGTACTGCTGGCTGCCCTGAGCGGTGAGCGGCGCGAAGCCCGGCATGAAGAAGTGCAGGCGCGGGAAGGGCACCATGTTCACGGCCAGCTTGCGCAGGTCGGCGTTGAGCTGGCCGGGGAAGCGCAGCGAGGTGGTGATGCCGCTCATGGTGAGGGACACCAGGTGGTTGAGGTCGCTGTAGGCGGGCGTGGTGAGCTTGAGCGTGCGGAAGCAGATGTCATAGAGGGCCTCGTTGTCGATGCAGAAGCAGGCGTCCGTGTTCTCGATGAGCTGGTGCACCGACAGCACCGCGTTGTAGGGCTCCACCACGGTGTCCGACACCTTGGGCGAGGGCATGACGCTGAAGGAGTTGAGGATGCGGTCCGGGTACTCCTCGCGGATCTTGTTCATGAGCAGGGTGCCCATGCCCGAGCCTGTGCCCCCGCCCAGCGAGTGGACCACCTGGAAGCCCTGCAGGCAGTCGCAGCTCTCGCTCTCGCGCCTCACCACGTCCAGCACGCTCTCCAGCAGCTCCGCGCCCTCCGTGTAATGGCCCTTGGCCCAGTTGTTGCCAGCCCCCGAGTTCCCTGTGGCAAGAGGAGGGGAGGTGGGAGAAGAGCACCCGCAGGAGGCACCCTTAGCTCTGCCGGGTGGAACCTTCTGGAAATACCTACCATGCACAAAACTGTCGGGTTGAAAGAGGGCCCCCAGTCTGCTGGACCGGATGCTGTCCATCGTCCCCGGCTCCAGGTCCACCAGGACTGCTCGGGGCACGTGTTTCCTACCTACGGGGGAAAACGGGAAGAGGTCAGCAACCTGTTGTTTTTCCAGAAGTTAATGTTCCATCCGAATGGGTCCTTGTGGTGCTGGTCAAATAAAAACCCCGGGGCACTCTGGACGAAAGTGTGTGGTAGATAGAAAGTGCCTCCTGTCAAAACCTTGACCCCAAAACCAGTCATGTGAATCTATAAAGCATGCTTAAAAAAAAATCTTCACCATCGGCTTGATAGAATATCCAGCAAGACCAGAAAACCAAGGCAGGTGCTTAAACTGCTGTGAGGAGCTTGCCCCGGAAGCCGGCATGATGGCTCAACTGACTAATCCTTCATCTCCAAGCACTAGCATCCCACATGGGCGCTGGTTCGTGTCCAGCAGCCCCACGTCCCATGCAATTCCCTTGTAATGGTCTGGAAAAGCAGCAGAGGACGGCCCAAAGCCTTGGGACCCCTGCACCCATGTGGGAGACCTGGAGGAGGCTCTTGCTTCCTGGCTTCAGATGAGTTGAGCTCAGCTCTTGCAGCCATTTGGGGAGTGAACCAGCAGATGGTTCTCTGTAAATCTGCCTTTCCAATAAAAATGAATAAATCTTTTTTTTTTTTAAGATTTATTTTTATTATTTTTTTTATTGGAAAGGCGGATATACAGAGAGGAGAGACAGAGAGGAAGATCTTCCGTCCGATGATTCACTCCCCAAGTGAGCACAACAGGCCGATACTATGCCGATCCGAAGCCAGGAGCCTCTTCCGGGTCTCCCACGTGGGTGCAGGTTCCCAAAGCTTTGGGCCGTCCTCCACTGCTTTCCCAGGCCACAGGCAGGGAGCTGGAAGGGAAGCGGGGCTGCCGGGATTAGAACCGGCGCCCATATGGGATCCCGGGCGTGCAAGGCGAGGACCTTTAAGCACTTGCGCCACCGCGCCGGGCCCAAAATGAATAAATCTTGAAAAAAAAAAAAAAGATGTTTGCCCCATCAGCAACATCTTCCCCAGCCCTGCCTCTAGGGGCTCTGCTACTGTGCCTGCCCCTGCCCTGTGCTCAAGGTAAACATCAAGTGTGTATGCCATGCCCCCGCCCCAGCTGCTGCCATCCGTACCCCCAGATGCTGCCGTCTGTACCCCAGGCTGCCACGCCCCCAGATGCTGCTGTCTGGCTCTCCTTCCTCCCCGCCTCCCCCGCTGCCATGTCCCACCCCCCCCCTTCTGCGCCTTGCCTGTTCCCTGCCGGAGCCCCTGGCTGCCAGTGTCGCCCTACCGTAGGCTTCATTGTAGTACACGTTGATTCTCTCCAGCTGCAAGGTGGAGGCCCCACAGTCGCTGCCTGCCGGGTCTATCCCGTGCTCCTCGCCGATCACCTCCCAGAACTGAGAGCAGAAGGGAGGCAGGGTGAGGCCGGCGGGACCCACAGGAGGCCCTGCTGGTACCCCAGAGGCGGGCGAGCATGACCCTTGCCACGGTCTCTCTGGACTTCCGTAAGTGACCACACCGCAGCATCATCCAGTGAATGTGAACGCTCAGTGCGTTTTTACACTCTCTGGA